AATTATTAAAAAATATTGTATAAAATTACTCCACTGTCTATGTATATAAGGTGTATATGGAACATATATGAATTTTGTATTTCTACTTGGGTCCCATCTCCAAGATATTTCATTGTGTATGTATATGCAAATACAGGTGTTCCAAAATCCAATAAATAAATAATAACTTAATAACTTCATATATTATTCTAAATTATAATTATAAAATGTTGTAAATTATAAATTACTGTATAACTATATGACTGACGCTGGAGATAGGATATATGATATGTATTATTTTGCTGCCTTTTGTTGTTATTATGATATTGTTTTATGCAATGGCCATTGGCCAAAAGCAATAAATTTGAAATTTGAAATTTGAAATTCAATAAATAAATAAATAAATAATCTAAAATCCAAAATACTTCTGGTCCCAGGTAATTTGGATAAGGGATATTCATCCTGCATTAAAAAAAAGACAATAAAAAATCAGTTCATTTCTCATTTAACAAATGTCATTGCTCATTTTGCATAGGGAAAGATTTCACAGCTAAATAGATTGCGCAAGTTACAATTTTTTTTAATTTTTTGGAGTAGTGGAATGATGAAACTGACAAAATGAAAATCTGCTGTGTTGTTGTTGTCGTCGTTGTATCATCAGTGTACATGAAGCTTTACAAAACAATAAAAAAGTCAGCCAGTGTTGCCAAAAGCCTACATCTCTCTCTCTCTCACACACACAGAGAGGAAATCCACTACAGCTGCAGAACATGTTGTCTAAATACAAACATAAAAATCAGTGCTATACAATACACAACAAGCTAACAAATACAACCAAACTCAAATATAATAAAAATACACTGAAATATAATAAAAATATACAAAATACACTGAAATATAATAAAAATATACAATAGTGTAAAACTAGATAAAACTTAACTAAAATTCCAAAAGCCAAAACAATATTATTAGTAGACACAACCACAGTAGACCCATCAAACAGGGTAAGGCTTGGTTAGTAGTTGGTTGGAGACTGACAACCAGTCCCAGGTGCTGTAGGCTATATCTGAGAAGAGAAAAACTGGCAAAGCCACCTCTGGTTATTCCATGCCTAAGAAAATGGTGTGAGATTCATGGGGTCATCATAAATTGAAGGCATATACACAGAGATTTGAACTTAAACCTTCCCAAGAGTAGTCAATAGTCTACAGTTGGGAAACTATATATTGGTTACAGGAAAAAGATTGCCCTTTGGTGCCACAACAAACTACAAATACCAGGATCCCATAGCATTGGGTCATGGTAGTTAAAGCGGTGTCAAACTGCTTTAATTTTGCAGTGTGACAGCAGGGTTTGTTTCCCAACCTTCACCTGCAATGCAACATCCCATCAGTGTAGTGTAAATATCCACATGTAGAACTATGCTGTGTGAGCACTACACAATATTTATACAGAAAACAACCTTGTAGAACACATCTCAATGA